AACTGTTCAGTGTTGGCTTATCTGGCACTTTTCAAAGTGCTAAATTCATTTAAGTGCTGAAAGTGTTGACAAGGGTAATGACACTATATTGTCAAAAGTTTTGTAAGTGGAACAATGTAGCTGTTTCCCCTTGGAAGTGCTTCTTTGGAGAACATCATAGTTCACTGATGTGGCATTGCAGTCTCCTCCCTGTGGACAGTTTGCACATTGCAGAAGCTAATTCACTAGGCTTTCTAGATCAGATTCTAGCCCAATATTGCTATTAAAAGCAACTAATAAGCATAATATAAGGCTACAACTGGACTGAGGAGTGCTTGCTTTCATAAACTGACATTTGTAACAAGTACTTCAGTCACAGAAAGGATCTGTAGAAGTGCAATTCTAAATCAAAATGAACCATTCTAATGCAGCTGCTTTCAGGTAAGCATCGAGAAAATATATCATAAAATCATAGAAACATAGAATCACAGAATGGTTCAGGTTGGAAGGAACCTTAAAGATCATCTAGTTCCAACCCCTCTGCCATGGGCAGGGACAACCTCCACTAGACCAGGTTGCTCAAAGACTCATCCAGCCTGGCCTTGAACACCTCCAGGGATGGGGCATCCACTACTTCTCTGGACAACCTGTTCCAGTGCCTCACCACCCTCACAGTGAAAATTTTTTTTCTAACATCTAGTCTAAATCTACCTTCTTTCAGCTTAAAACTGTTACCACTTGTCCTATCGCTCCACTCCCTGATAAAGAGTCCCTCCCCGTCTCTGTGCTAGGCCTCCTTTAAGTGCTGGAAGGCTGTTATGAGGTCTCCCCAGACCTTTCTGTTCTCCAGACTGAACAACCCCAACTCTCGCAGCCTGTCCTCATAGGGGAGGTGTTCCAGCCCTCTGATCATCTTTGTGACCCTCCTCTGGAAGCACTCCAACAAATCCATGTATTTTTTATGTTGGGGGCCCCAGAGCTGGATGCAGTACTCCAGGTGGGATCTCACAAGAGCAGAGCAGAGGGGGAGAATCACCTCCTTCGACCTGCTGGTCATGGGTTTTTTTTATGCAGCCCAGGACACGATTGGCTTTCTGGGCTGCAAGCTCACACTGCTGGCTCATGTTCAGCTTCTCATCGACCAAAACCCCCAAGTCGTTCTCTGCGGGGCTGCTCTCATCCATTCTCTGCCCAGCCTGTATTTGTGCTCGGGATTGCCTTGATCCAGATGCAGGACCTTGCACTTGGCCTCATTGAGCTTCATGAGGTTTGCATGGGCCCACCTCTCAAGCCTGTCAAGATCCTTCTAGATGGCATCCCTTCCCTCCAGTGTGTTGACCACACCACACAGCTTGGTGTCATTGGCAAACTTGCTGAGCATGCACTCGATCCCACTGTCCATGTTACCAACAAAGATGTATCCATAAAATGGTTGTTTTTGCACCATGACAGTTGTAGTGTGGGTTTTAAAGTGACAGCATATTAATTTAAAACTGCAATGCTTTTAAACCTTAGCTAGACTGAATATGAAGTTGTTACTTACCTGCAACTGTAGTCTGCTTAGCACACAATAATTTTAAAATCATGTATGTCAACCAGCACTGCAGTTACAGATGCGTAGGAGGGACTTCATCCTGCAGAATGCCGATTATATTTGAGAGCTGTGTAATACTTGCATTTCTTATTAAAGCATATGCAGAAAGCATCTCATTGAAGCACTCAGCACCTTTAAAGTCTGGTCAGTGTAGTCATGTTTTCCTTTATTGGTCCTTCTTGGAATACACCCCTTAGCTTTGCTGAGAGTTTGGCAACAACAGCAAAAAAGGCACCCTACCCCTCTTCACTGCTCTTATGGCACAACTGTGGGTGCTTGGACTCAATAGGCCAATAAAGATCAAAAGAAGCTTGCACCTGCCTGGCAATTTGTTTCAGGCATTCTGCAAACAGTGGTGTCAAGTCCTAGGCTTCAGTTCAGGAAAGCTCTGAAGCACGTGCTTCCTTTTAACCATATACCTAGAACAGCCCTTAATGCTTTCCTTAGCTGAGTGAGTGTTGACTCAGCACCCACTGATCATTTATAGAGAAGGAAATGTGCATTTAGAAAAGTGCCTTTGACCAGGACCTGATCTGTGCTTTTGGTGTGGCTAAACTGAAATCAGAGTTGAAACTGAAGGTGCTCAAGGTGCTCTTGGACCACAGGTAGATGCTCAGCCTGACAGAGGTGATACTCAGTGTTGCACAGATATCCTGTCTTCATTGCAATGCCATCTGGCAAGAAGAGCACCCTTTATAATACTTCTATTGATATTTTTCAAGGCATTAAATATTATCTTCACAAAGGTGCTGAGGAGTTGATAGTAGCTTTGCCTAAAATGGTTGATATTGGCAATGATAGAGATGGAGACACCTCAGGGCTTCTCAGTCCTGGACAAGTACTCTGCACAGTGAAATCTGTCTTCAGGAATGGAAATGGACACAACTCAAGGAAAGATCATGTGAGAAGAACACCAAAGAGCCGTGTGGCTTGTGCTTATCTGTCAATCAAATTCTTGGTGTCAATAATGATGAGTCAGTCTTGCTGTGACTGCAGAGAAAGACAGCTAGGTTTGTAATGTTACAGATCAGTTCATCGCAGAGCCATCATTTGTGTGCAGTTTATCATCATCACTCTAGAAGTGTGTTGCTCATTTTACTGAGTGACACTGGAAATTCAGCATAGAGTCCTACCACAAATACACTATAATTCTGTAGCAAGGAACCATGGGAAAAGAAGATCTGGAGAATTATGGGGTTTTTGTTAATTGTTATTTCAAAATCTCTGGATGTAAGAAGTGACAAATAAGAAAAAATACGGACACATATTTTATTGTTTATAGCCTTCATTAATTTTTAAGGAATGAGTCAAAGAAATTGCTGAAAAGAACCAGTAGCAGAGGCAATATAATGAGCAGATCTAAGAGCCATTTTAATATTTGATGAGACCAAAAGCTTCTCATCACTAACCATCTTTTAATGGCACTTGCCCTCTGTCCGGGTGTATGTGGCTGCATGTTTATAAGGGACGAACTTTTCTAACTTTCTAATGAAATACATCTTAAGATGGGGGTGATCTGGAGCTGTTCTGTTGCCATGTCTGTTTAGGTTGTGATAAGATGGGAAACTGAGTCTTTGTTTGCATCTCAGCATGTTCATGTGTTACTTTAAACTCTCCACGTCATTAACTGACTTCTCAGTCAAAGATGATTTAAAGTACTGATGCACAGAACCATGCAGTCAGTCTGCCTGCCAGAGGGGTAAGCTGTAACAGAGAGACAAATGGACGAACCTGAGCAAAGCACTTAAAAATGTGTGTCTATTCTCTGTCAATGGAGCGCTCGCATGTTTTTAAGTCAGGTGGAACGCTGCAGGAGTTGGGTCCCCTTTTGAAACACTATGAAACCTGTGCAGAGCAACCCGCATTGAATTAGAAGCAAATCCACAACATGGCTGAGAAGTGAACTCAGGAGCCCTACCTTTCATTCAGCATCGCAACCAAAAACACTCCTCCATTGCAACTCGCATGACATCTCATGTAGAGAGAGAGGAGAAGAAGTTCCTAGTAATATGCCAAGTCTGCGAAACTTTTAGCACGACTTTTTGTTTCTGTGGAGTCAGTACTAGCATTGTCTCATGGTGATGCACAGAACTGGGTTGAGCTCTCACAGCCATAGCTGTGTTTTTGGTATGCTGCGCTAACTCAGAATTACTGACAAATAGCTGAAAATGGATGTTCTGAGTGATTTAGAAATAATGTAAACCCCGACTGAACTTCTGTTGGGTTTTTCTTCCATTTGCTGTTTCAACATGAGAACAAGGAGAGCATTATTTATAACAACAAATATAAAGTCCCACAAGGAGAAATGATATGGTGAATTGACAGAATCTTGAAAGTGTAAATGTGGTTTCATAACTAAATACATTTTCAGACAGGAAAATGAAAGTTAATCAAAAGCGAGGTGTCCTTGAAAAACCTTTCCTTTTTTTCTGACTTCCTTAGAAATATTCACAGCTGTCTTGATGCAAAAGTAATCAGAATGTCTATATATGTATAGCACAGTATCTCAGTAGTTTCACTATTTTAAAAGTACTTGAGTGGATTTCTTTATTCATGTGATCCTGTCAGAATGGGACATATCAGGAACAATAAATTGTTTAGAGACTGGAAATCAGATAATTTTTTTTTAATTTAATTTAAGGTTAGGGAACCTAATTTTAAGGAAGTATAGCATTCTGGAGAAAATGAAAAATGTTCTAAGAGACTTTCAGAAAGGCATTCTTTCAGTGAAAGATCCCATTCAACATGAGTTGATTTAGGGTAGGAGTCCGTGTCTTATGGGTTGTTTATTATCGAGGGAATGTATCCAAAGGACTGATTTTGGTTTTAGGCTGTGTAGGACTGGGTAGTTAATGTGGAACACAATAATTTGATGCATTAACTTTGGAAATTATCATCAGAAAATAGCATTGCTATTCAAAATTAGGATATTAAACCATACAGGTCCTGATCCAAGGCTGTCATGCAGCCAGACCACTGTGTCTTCATGGATTTTGGTTTATATCACTGAGTTTCCAGGAGAATCATCAGTGCAGATTTAATTTCATGAATCTTTTATAGTTTCCTGAGTGTTAAAATGGAGAGTAAAACTAGCCTTATTTAAAGTGGGTTGGTAGGCTAAATTACTTAATAATTTTATAGAGCTTCCTGTTCCTTGGATAGGGTGTGTGCCAAGTCAGTGTTAAAGATGAGTTTGCCCTTCAGAAACAACGTTTTTGGAGATTCTGTTGAGAAACCTGTCATGGTAGTGATTGTTTAGGGGGAGAAGTTTGGACCATGAATCACTAGTTCTTAAAAGCTCCTGCAAGTTAATGATATCACATGGGAAAAAAATAAACTGTGGATTTTCCTTGTTTAAAGTCTTGATGTTCTTGCTTGTGAATGTCTGGAGGAATTATTTCTGACTCTTTCATTTGTTTTTTTTCAGGTTGGGGGTCACACCATGCTGCCCATTCGTTGGATGCCTCCAGAGAGTATCATGTACAGGAAGTTCACAACAGAAAGTGATGTCTGGAGCCTGGGGGTTGTATTATGGGAGATATTTACCTATGGCAAACAGCCATGGTATCAGCTCTCAAACAACGAGGTGTGTGTAATACATTCTCAATCTGCATTGAGAAGACTGGCACAATAACTGTTGGTATAGCTTCTCTGGAGAAGGGACAGTGACAAATGTTTTTAGTAGAGGCAAAACCCCTAATATCAGGTATTTATGGTATTGTCATGAACTTTGTGGTTGAATTTCTTCCTTTTCACCATTTTCTCCTCAGGGTGGATGGAAGTTGTCCAAGCAGAACCATAACAGTTGTAATTTAGCTTTTTCCTTTGTATAGGTTAGGGTCTGCTCTGGGTATTCAGAAAGACCACGAGGCAATGAAGAGGAACTTAGCTATCTCCTGAACAGGCTTTAGGTGATTTCAATTCCGTATCATACCTGTCCTTTTTGCAGAGTGGTTGTCCAAAACCATTCTTGAATAGATCGAAGTAATCTGAAGATCTCTCGTTTTCCAGGCAGTCACAAGTAACTACTTTTCAGAGATTAGCCACAGTGATACTCATAAGTTTAAGAAGGGAAGGAGGGAGAGGCGCTGATTATCTGTGTAAGCAGGGTGAAAACTTAGACTCCTTCTGACATAAGGTGAGGTTGATAAATGGGTAGAGAGAGGAGATATGGGATTACTTCCTGGCCGTCATTCCCTTATGATGGGAAGGGGCAACGTGGGTGAACTTAACATCAATGAAGTTATTTCTCCTTGACAGCTTACATTACAGTGATTTTTCCAGATCACATCCCACTGTTCTTGTGTCTACCTAGAAACGCAGCCCTTGGCAGAGTTGTCTGGGTGACTGCCAACAATGGGGCTGCTGTGGCAATTAGGAATTAACTCTTCCATGGATGACCCCACATAGTTGGCACAGCTGTGCTGATCCTTTCCTTATGATTTCTCCTAGGTGATTGAGTGCATCACTCAGGGTCGAGTCCTGCAGCGACCTCGCACATGCCCCAAGGAAGTATACGATTTGATGCTGGGCTGTTGGCAGCGAGAGCCTCACATGAGGCTTAACATCAAAGAAATCCATTCCCTTCTCCAGAACTTGGCCAAGGCGTCTCCAGTCTACTTGGATATTTTAGGCTAAAGTCTGCTAGCATTTCTTCTTATGGGCTGCGGGAATGAATGTGTTCAACTGCCGCTGAACTCCATTAAAATATGTTCTTAACTTGGACAGTATTAATGACAAAATTGCGGAGAAGCTTTCAAAGGGCAAGCAATGTACACTTCTCCATCTGTAGACACAGTATTGACTTTTAGACGTTACCGAGACCTATCTCCTCCCTCTCTCTTTCTTTCTATTTCTATCATTTTTTCTTCTCTCCTGTCTTTCTAATCAATTTGGCTTCTGCATTATTGTAACTCTGCATAGACAAAGGCCTTAAAAACCTGATCTGTTATATCAGCAGACTTTTCAGTTTGCCCACCACAACTAACAATGCCTTGTTGTATTCATGCCTTTGATGTGGATGAAAAAAAGGGAAAAATATATTTGACTCGAACTTTGTGATTTCTGCTGTACAGCTACTGGGAGTTTCTATGGATTCACCTCAATTTTTTTTTTGCTTTGGCACGTGGGTGGAAGAAGAAGACTGGTGTTCTCTACATGAAGCATATTCCTTGTGGAGATAAAGCCAGATGGAAAGAAGACAGTCTTGTGTGATACACTGTGTGGAGAAACTAGGGGATCAGGTGGCATCCAACCCCCGCCCCCAAAAAAACACAGAAATGATTTGATGGAAGGGAAAAGGGGGTTTAGCACTTTCCCTGAAGAGTCTTTCTGAGAACTAAAGGGATTGTTCAACGTTGTGCTTTGCCAGCACCTTTCATTGCAAGATACAAGTGAAAGGGGAAAAGATGCTGCCTGCACTTCGTACAACTACATTGCAACATGATAAACTAAACACCTTATTTTGTCTTCTGGTAGGATATTGTCATGCCACTGGTATAAAAATGTTCTCCAGCTAGTCTTTTTTAGTAAAGGCTGAAGCTAGGCTTATTAATGTACAGTAATAATTTCTGGATCATGTGTTGAAACTAAGGATTTTGATGAGATAGGACAAGCTATAGATGCTGGGGCAGGTGTATCTTATACTGTGCTTGTCCAGCAGCATATTCTTTCCTTCCTCAGTCCTTTTTCTTTTTTTTTTAAACCGTGCAAGCAAAACTGTGCATGGTCTTTGTTGATTAATGCCCTTTGTGCAGAAACTATCACTCATCTTGTAGTACACTCTAATATGCATAGCAAACTCATAACAATATAACTTATATCTCATAAGAAGGGGCTAATGTAGGACATTAGCCATGTTCAAATGCCTTTACAATGTGACAGATACAATAGGCTGATAGAACACGAATAATCTAAAGCACAGAGATCACTGGTCATGTTTGAGCCATGACAGGGGATAGAGATCTCTGGAGAAAACAGATTACTCTGAGGTTAAGGCTTACTATTCAGAGTGCAAAGACCCTGAGCTTAGCACCATGTTTGTATTAGTACTAGTGATGTCATTACCAACATCCGCTCTTTCTTAAATAATTTATTTTTGGTTGGATTGGCGTTGTATGTGTACAACATTTGCATGGCCACTGTGTTGATGACAGCTGCATGGGCATACTTGTTGTTTTTCAAATCAGAAGTTGACAATTTCAAATTTAGAGTTAGGATTATTTTTAATATGAATTCTTACAAATGAAAACCTACCTTACCTATTCCTCAAGACTTTTGCCTCCCTCTGTGAGGGGGCGTTACTGCAAAAAAAGTGATCTTTCTTTCTGTTTTCTCTTTTTGTTATTTCTTATTGATATGAGCCAGATAAAAATAGTCCTTCATCTTTGTGTTGGGGATATTTTATTTAATAAATTAAGCATTTTATTTTTGTAAGTGTTCCCATAGCACATTTAATATATGATTTGCTTGCATATATTATTTATTGAGGCACTTTAGGTTTTTCCTTCAGAAGCTTTTAGAGCTAGCTCATAAAGATTCTGAACATTTTCAAAAGAAAATAGTTCACTGGACAGTGATGAAGTTTTACCCTTCTCAATGTCGTTGAAAAGGCAGCATTGCAAATAAACATGACAGTGTAACTATAAAGCCATACTCAGTATTTCTTTAATAAACTAGATGTTATTTCTTAACTGCTACTGAACTGGAAACACACAAAAAGCCAGGGGAAGATTCCTACAAAATGGGCCTTAAGATTTTATCTAGACTGTCCTGGAAGTTCACACAGAAAGTGAGATAAAGACTGAGCATCCAGTGAAAGCCATTCTCTTGAGAATCTGAATGTTGTGTTTTAAAGGAGTTTGAAGCTGATTTTCAAAATAACAGTGGTGGAAAAGAAAGGTGTCAGAGTCCACTCTTTATGGTGCAGTGGGAGGAGGCTGCAGGTGGTGGAGAGGGGTGCTAAGTTTCTACTTGCTGTATTCTGTCTTAGTTCTTTATGAGCTGAAGAAAAAGGCATCTGAGATGCTTCTTCTATTGGAAAGCAGGCTCCAGCCTGAAAGCAAACAGGTGGGTTTTGCAAGCACTGAAAGAATGTATACCAAAAATAACCACAAAACCCTGAAAATGTACGTAGTGGCATCTTCTTTTTGATTTACTAGTGAGACTATTAGAGTAATTTCAGAGAATAAATAGTGTTACAATGCGTTGTGCAATAACATAGCAGTATGTTAAACTTCTAAAGGACCAAATGTTCTACAGAGCTACCCATGTGGATAACCTTGACCTATATCATTAATGTTCTTGATAGTGCATAAAATGTACAATCACAGTAGACAAGCTAAAAACTGTAGCTATTCATAGTTTGCGTTTGTTCGTGAAAAGGTGGATAGGTGTAGCAGAATGAGCAGAGAAGAGGAAGAAATATGTTCAAATCACAATGACGGGTGAGTATATGTGCATATTCCTCATGCTTGCACTGTCAGCTAAATTGTGTACACTGAGTAAATACGACAATCAGGCTAATTTAAAAGTCTTTCTGGGCTGTGCTATGAACTGATCATATATATAATATATATTATATATGTGTGTTTGCATATGGCATATATATATACACACACATAGCATATACATGTATGCCTATGTCTGTTGTATTTTATTTATATATGTGCAGACATGCATGCACATTATGTATGGGCTGTGTGTATATGTATAAATTTACATATACCTACATTATTACAAATGATGATTAGAGTGCTATTAATAAATTGAAAAAAGTCTGCTGGATGACCAAAATATTTTTTTTCTTTTGATATTTCTTTTCCTGTGTTTGTAAGATTCAACTTTTTAACTCGTGTGCAGCAGAGAGGCAGTGCTAGAATGCCAGAGATACAACAACAAGCACTTTTTTCCCCCCAGATGATTGCATAAAAACGTTTCTTCCATTCCCATCTCAGTTGTTGACTTCTCACAATGAAATGAACAGACAAGCTTCCAAGCTCAGAAAACAAGAGTATGTTTTACTGTAATTTCTGGGTTTGTGCTATTGTTGCTTTATTGTTGTAGAATAACAGTGCAGCTCCATTAGCATTTTATACTCGTCTGCAGTAACAAAATAATTCCAAGAATGAGCTGGACTATTCAGACTGCAACAGAACTTGCAGGACAATGAGAACGCCAAATTTCATCAGAAATAATAGCACCATTCGCCACACTCTGTCCTTCATTCTCAGTAGATCTGCAGAACTTGGAACTGCTTGTGGAGATCAGATACCTGTAAAGCAACAGCACCCCATGATGCATGATGGAGTGTGCCCTTTCTAGTAGGACTTCATTAGTTTTGATTTGTAAAACAATATACCTATATATTGTCTACTGTTTAATAAGTAACTACCTATTTTTTCTTTTTCTTTATTTTTCATTCTTTCTTGCTCCTTCTTTACCACTTTCCTTCTTTCTCTTTTCCTTTCTTTCATTTTCTCCTTCTTTCCTTCTTCTTTTCCTTTCTCTCTTCTTTTTCTCTCTCCTGCTGTGCCCATATCCCCACCTCCCTTCCTGAGAGATTGTTTTTATTGTGGTTGATGTAGACTTCTACAAAACACTTTAAAAAGAAATTAAATAATCCAAGAAAATGATCAGGTCACTGGATGACTAAACTACAATGCACATGTGTTAAAACAAGTCTGTGTCTGGGTTGTTGCAGCCTGTGACTGAATTTCAGATACTGCTATAAAATGTGAGGCAGGGAAGCAGGGAGTGGCTGGGGATAAGACTAGGGTTTCTAATCAAAGATGAAGGTTTTGATAGCACAGGAAGTTGTATTTTCTTGTTATGAGGGCTGGGATGAACCACTGCTGCTTTGAATCAAGAGGTCCTTTAGAGCCTTAGTTAAAACACCTTTATTTCTGGGCGG